CGCAGCCATTGTATAAAGGTATAAGCACTTAAAAATTCTTACAAGTCTAAAGCCCAGTGTCCACGATGCTAGAAATCCGTCAGAGACCTCGGATGAAGAAAGAATTGACCAATCGCATTGATCATGTGACTAAATTATTTAGATGTGATTGGTTAATTCTTTCTCTCTCCGAGATCTCGGACCAATTTCTAGCATCGTGGACACAAGGCTTTACAGAAATATGTTACGAGCCTTACGATTCTGCTTAGAATTTAGGTATAATGGCCGCAGCACAGACTCTTGCATAACGCATAATGCATAGTGCATAAGGGAATCGACCAATTGAAATTCTTCTTTTCCATGGAATGGGAAGAAAGGAAAGATTCTGATTAGTTGATTCGCTTATGCACTATGCGTTATGCATTATGCAAGAGTCTATGCTGCGGCCTTTATCTTTGTTATTTACCGAATGTTAAACAAGGATAAATGATGCATTATGCACATTATGCGTGAAACGAAACGCAGCCTATATAATTTAGGAATCGTTTGAGGAAATTTAGGAAAAGTATTTAAACATTTGGATAATAGTATTTTTTTTGTTATTAACAAATTTTATCATGTCAAGTTAGCAGACAGCAATTTTATTTAATGTGTTTTATGAATGAAATCGATTACAAATCATTTGAGGAAGATGTCTTCATTGTTATTTTCATTTAGTAAAAGTCGCTATTTTGTAATTCAATTACACATATTGCGAAAATAAACAAAGCCCGGGTGTAGCGGGTGTAGTAGGTGTAGTATGTACAATGGATGTAATAAACGTAAAATCGTCAAAAATTTGTAGCCCGGATCTAATTATGTACAATAAGAAATCAACTTAATCATGAATCATGAACTTAATTATATTCGGTTAATTTTCTTTACATTCAACTGTGATTGATCAATTTCTTACGGCTTAAGGTAATTATTCGAGCCGCTCAAACCGGCTGTTTCAGCGACAAAAAGGATCACGTGATCAAAATTGACTAATATCATTCTTTCCTTTTTGTCACAAATGGGTTTCATACGTACAAAAATTTTAGTCGTAATTGTAATGGTTCCTGCACACTGGACGCGGAAATGCTTACCGCGCGGCAAAATGCGACGCGGTAATCAATGGCTGCGTTCAGCAGAACGTTTGTTTTGCAACTGTTGGAAGTTTCCTTCGCGCTAATTGGATCATACTTTTAGATCTAGAAGAATGGTCCTATCTCAGCAGACAATCATAAAACGGTTGCAAAACTGTTGAGTCTGCTGAACGCAGCCAATGAACATGTTAGGAGCTGCAAAGCCCGAGACACAATGCGAGGGAATAGCGATAGCGATAGGAATAACACGATTTCAACCTATCAGAAACTGCGTATTCCGATATATCCGATTTCTGATAGGTTGAAATCATGTTATTC